AACAAAAAAACATTTTTTTTTTTAGTTAAATATATTATCTACTTAATATATATAATTCAGTTTTTAAGTTTACTTATATTATATTTTCATGTTTTGTTTATCAAGAATTAATAATTTATAATATAGTTTTTATTAATTTTGAAATTCTAAGAAAATCACATCAAATTAATGGAACGTCAGTTAAGCACTAAAATAGTTAAATAATATCATTATAATAATATGGGCGCTGTCACTGAAGTCGTGCAATGTAAAAATGTGATTTTCTTGTTGAATTTTATTTTAATATTTAATCCATTAAATTGCATTATTATTTATGGCATCTACAGTACTAAATTTAATAATCCTTAGAAGGTGATGACACTTAATATAATGTGTTTATGAACACATCATAATAAATAGATAGGTATAAAAGTATAATATGGTATACACTATATGTAGTACTATACTACTATACATAATATATAAATCCATTTAAGTGTCTACACTAATTATTTCAAAAACTTTTAATTTTTTTGAAAATATTAATTTTAATTGATACATAAAGTCGAATTTTGAACGAGTAGCTTGGAAATTGATTAGTTATGGGTATTAAAAGATTAGATGTGAATATTGGAATAAACTTTTGCGAAGTACCTACTCTAGTACTACTCTTCGCAGCTCAAACAACTATACACATTCTAAATACAACAAAAAATATTATGCCATTATGGTATGGAATATGATATTAAAAATTATGTTGTGATTTAAAAAAATTAAAACTTTTCAAAATAATGAGTGTTATAAAATGAGTTTACACTAATATAGACAGTAGACACTTATAATTTATTTAATATACATAAATAGCAATGTTTGAGGAAATATAACGACATGAGTTACAGGCATTTCGGGACCTGAATTTATATTTTTTCCCCCACAACAGTACGGACATAGTACATACATAATATTATTGTGTACCTATATTATCATTGAACTTAAAATATGACTAACCTTAAAATACTACCAAACTATAGTAACTACCTACAAGCATGTATAGTGTTCATGATCTGTTGTACACTCTTCCGATTGTATGGTAAACTCTCCCGATTTTTAAAATTAGTAAATTATCCCGATCCCCGATGATAAACTCTCCTGGGTCATCATTATGTTTTCCTAAAGGCAATCTGTAAACTATCCAGTGTTGTTGTAAAATTATAGACTACCAAAAAATAGACACCTTAAGTTTTTTTAAATATGTATGGACTATGGTTCATATTATCATAAATATTTAATTTAAATGTTAATTTAATTTGAAATTGATTAATATTATTATTATTTTTATTAATTAAAAATTAGGTACTATAATGTATATAAACTGACTTTTAGATTTTGAGTGGAACGATGAATGTATTGATTTTACAATGATGTGTGTTTTTCTATTTTTATTATTTTTTTATGTGTCTGTCATCACCTTTTAGGACAGTGCTTGGATTTTCTTCAACAGTATCTTTTCTGATAGAAAAGTGAATCTAGTTGGTACTTTAGGAGGTCAAAAGTAAGAATTTCCAAGTAGTTTTCAAAATCGCAGTGAAAAATAAAAAAAAATTAAGGAAAAACGGAAATTTTTACGCAAAATCTGTTTTCGAGAAAATCGATTTTGGTTTTTGGTGCAACTCTGAAACAAATTACCGTAGGTACATTACATTGATTTTTGGTGCAAATTTTGACTGAATGTTTATATTAACTTTTTCTATACACCATAACATTTTCCAAATATTTTGACTTATTTTGAGCTGTTTACGGAGATTTTCAGTTCCCATTTTTTTTAGTTTATTTTTCTATAAATATCAATTAAATTTTATTTGTTGGTTAAAAAAGCTTGACAATTTAATAGAAGGCTCCTAGTATATTGTTTCAAAGGCGGATGAAAAAAATTAAAAATCCATAGTCACAATTTTTTTTATAAGCATTTTAAGTTCAAATATTGACAAAAAACGTAAAAATGACGAAAATTTGCAAATTATTTTGAGTTAGAAATTCATAAAAAATTTCTTTTCAAAAATCTTTTTAAGCCTATAACATTTTTCCGTCTGCTCCTAAAAGAGTAGGATTTTTCACTCCACGGGCTCCGACTCCGGGGTCCACCATTTTCTGTAGTGGCGACCGTGTCAATGGCAGATAGAACAGGAGCGACTAGACGCACATCAGAAATATTGTGTAGCAAGTGCTTTTGTAAAAATCATGAAAATCGTACGTTTAGAAATTAATATTTATAAATGAAAAAGTGCGAACTTTTTAATGGATATTTATAATAAATTCAGAACTACGGTAGCTGTCGTCGACGTCGCATCAGCGTTGCCAATGTTACCAACAATATTACCGTTCTTATAGATTATTGTGTAAACACTCAATATTTCATAACGATAAAAATTAGTGATATCACAACAATACTTGTTGTCGTAAACTACGTGTAAAAATGGCTAAGTAAAAAAAATAATCTTTAAGCACTATAAAGATGTGATATCATGAATATATGCAAGGTATATTGAATTTAAGTAAACTTATTTTGTTTCAATAATTTATTTACTTGGCGAGGAATTATTTAGAATAGTATATAAATATTAATAATAATATTTTTAAAATACTAATAAGTTATATTTTAATAGTCCATCGCCATTTAATTATATTTTGTTCATCACACTTTGTTTCTTTTAAGGAATAATTCCTCGCCAAGTAAATAAATTATTGAAACAAAATAAGTTTACTTATATTCAATAGGTATACTTAGCATTTATTTATGATATCACATCTTTATAGTGCTTAAAGATCTTATATTTTTTTTACTTAGCCATTTTTCCATGTAGTTTTTGTTGTGATAATATTATACCTAATATTTTAACGAGGATAGTTTCTGGTATAACGATTTGTATATTTATTCTGTCGTATCGTCATAATTTCACGACCCACAGGCCTCAGTACCGCATTATATTAATAAAATGATCTTCTTCAACGTTTTGAGATATGACGCTGGAGAAGGCTGAAGGATGTTACGTGTGAGTGGGATACAACGACGAACGTACTAAAACCTTAGATCATATACTATGGATGGAGCCACTGCATATTATTTTGAAGCCGATATTAGCGACGAGTCACCGAATTAGGTGATCGATATGCGCATGCGCGAAACAACTCGTTTAATATTAATATTATAACTGTCCCCATCCCAGCCGAGTCACCGAATTAGGTGTTCGATATGCGCATGTGCAACGCAACCTCTCGCATATTTATCAGCTGGTGATTATAATATTAATATTAAACGAGTTGTTTCGCGCATGCGCATATCGATCACCTAATTCGGTGACTCGTCGCTAATATCGGCTTCAACTTTTTGTATTGCTATAATACGCAGTGGCTCCATCCATAGTATATGATCTAAGACTAAAACAAGCTCAAGGAAATAAATGATTACAGATACCTAGAATAATAATTGGAGTAAGACAATGGGGCGTGATTGGACACTTATAGAGGTATGGAAATATTATGTACTAAATTTTATAGAATAATAGAACGAACAATTGATGGCAAAACAGACCTGAACATTAATCAAAATTCAAAAGATTTCGAACCCTGCGTTATCAAGCTATACACCGAGTTGAAGGAACTCTAGTCTGTAAGAAGGACGGAGAGTGGATGAAAGACTAAAAACCAACCTTAGGATTGAAAAAATAAACAGGTAATACCTACCTGACGATATCATTATTAAAGCTAGTACATAAATACGGTAATATTATATTATTATTATTATAACAGTGGCAAGACCGATTGGGGTAAAGATTGTATCTATAAAGTATAAATATAAAGAGTCTCAACAACAGCTTTTTTTAAATTAAACTCAAATGTATATTATATTTAAAAATATTTATGTTTATTTTATTATACACATTTAATTATAATCATAAAATTACAATGTATAAACGAAGTTATTCTACAGACTCGGGAGAATGTACCTATTTGTCAGGTAGTACTGGAGTAGACCCGGGACAGTTTACCATCGGGCATCGGGAGAGTTAACAGGTGATTAAATCGGGAGAGTTTATAATCGCCCTTTTTCATACTGTTGATATTTATTTAATCGCGTGAGGCGTGCAGTAATGTATAAAATACATATCATATAATAAGAAATAGTTTATATTTCGACGTCAAACGCGTTAAAGTCTATACTATGTTTATACAAATGTTGTCTCATGGATTTTCATCCTCGTATTTACGAACAGAATAAATTAATATATCGTATTGTCGTTTGTCACGAGCGGTTGACAGCGGAGAATGACGATTCCGCGTCTAGTGCATCATGGATTACAATAATGATATACACGGGGCGGTAGAGGAACACGGAGTGGTGGAGCGGAAGTTATCAGACCATTATTAATAAATGGGGACTGGTGCGATATTTGATCGCGAGGAAATTCGGTCTGCACCGTTTGGAGGGGGAGGGGGTTGGTTGAGTGGATTGATTTTTGGTCAGTGGACAGATATATAATTGTATACAGACGGACAATTAGCGGGATGGGTTTTTAAAAACAGTCAACAAACACATCATTGTATACAGCAGCAGAGGCGACACGCATGCACACAGATACGCTGCACTCGAAGCCCCCCTCGAGGGATGAAAAAAAGGGTCGCTCCGTACAAGACATGGGTAGGCGGTGCTAGATGGATCACGGTTTGGTGGTGGGGACGACCCTCGGGGCTGGTCGGTGGGGTTGGTGCGATGCAGACCTCTGGCAGACAGTCAGTCACCACACAACCCCGCTGCCGAAGACCTCAACGCTGGTCGTCACCGTGTTCGTGCGTAAAACTCGTATACATTTGTTTCGTAGTTATTATTTTAATTACAGATGATATTATCGTGACCGTGTTAAAAAATTATACTGCTGTCCTCTTTGTTTATAAAAGTATCAACGTAGTGTCACGTGCGTGTGATCGGGTTACTATTAATTCCAAGTCGTTTCCACCGCCACGATATGGACGGTCCTCGTTGGCCCGTGACGATGACCTCGACCAAGAAGACCATGTCCAGGTCATTTTTGATCGACACGCTCATAGGCAGCGTCAAACGTCCCTCCACCACCGCTGCCGTGGCCGCTGCAGCCGCTGCAGCCACTGTATCCGCGGCCTCCGTACCTTATCACCCACAACTCAACGAGTACATTCAGTTCTTGAACAGGACTGCAGCGGCGGCCGCCGTCTACGGATACCAATCGTCGACGCCTGTTGCGTTTCCATCGGCTACTAATCCAAGGTTTTTCGGTTATCCGGTCGGTGGTAGTAGCAGTGGAGGTGGTGGTGGTGCATTTGTCAAAGACCACCAACAGCAACACCACAATCACCAACACCACCACCACCAAAAGCAGGCAGTCGTAAAACCCGTTCCCGTTGTAGCCACCAACACGGGCCAAAGGAATAAACCACATCATGACAAAACTACGGCGAAAAAGAGAGCTGTAAATGAAATGATGGCTTACGATCCGGGTAAGTTGTATAACATGATAAACGTATATTTACTAAAAACGGGAAGATTGGTTATTATTTTAGATTCTGAGCGGAGCGAGGGATCTAGTGGTTTTATAATGGTGTTTATTTTTATTTATTTTTTTATCCTGTACACAAAATTTCTACCAGAATGAGTACTTCTATTTTAAAATAGAGTATCTTATTTTTTAGAAAGTTAGATCAAGATGGTACTTTAGATAAGTCATTTTTTGAATTTTTCAATAGTTATTTAATTACCGACAAATTACGAAAAACCGCTAAAAATGGGATTTTAATTTCTAAAGCTTTGTGTAACGCCATAGAAACGAATAAAAAATTAGAATATTATAATATCAATTTGACTTACAGGCTATAATAAATAATAACAATACAAAATATCCAGACTGACAAACCGTCTCCGCTCAGAATCGTTTTTCTTATACAATATTATATCATTGAATTCAAGTTTAATATACTCCATTATACATTGACCCACTTGTAACATACTGTACAGCAGAGCGACATCCACTTACCCACTTTTTTAAATTTCATTATCAATATCATAGTTTATCAATTACCGTTATAGAAATAATGTTGTATTAAAAGTTCGATTAAAGAAATTCAAAACGACCAATTTATTTTTGCATTTATCTCACATCAAACATAATATTTTATTATTGTAAAAGACGTATAATAATAAATGTATTATTTAATTTAGTTCAATATTAACTTCAAATTTTAAAAATAATTTTACAATCAAATTTGATTGTCAGACATTTGTTATTTAATTAGTTGCTTAGTCGGTACACGGTGCACATTTAATGGCTATGGAGTAGGTTTGGCAATATTTTAAACACTGTTTGAATTTTTTGTATAATATAATATAGTACCTAATATTAGTTTTAACTACATTATTTAAAATGTTCGTAAAGAGAAAGTTTTCTTTATTTTACTTTAGGTACTTTATTAATTATTATTTATTACTGATACTAATGATTGCAGATTTTAAAAATGATTTCTTTTCAATCAGTAAATTAATATATTATGTTATTTAAAGAGGTTTTTATGTATACCAACGAAATAATTCATTTTTTCTTTTCAAAGTCAATCTTAAAATAGTTCATTGAAAGAGGGGGAGTATATAGTTATAATTGCCGAATTTTTAAATGTCGAACTGCCAACTGTAAGTTTAATATTGTTGCAGAATGGTGGGGTGTCAGTGTGTCACTCATACACGACCTCATTTCGGTTCGTCCCTGTCTCCATTACTCAAATATAATATTATACTTTAATTTTTTTTATTTAATTCCAGACAGCATTTAGAATAAATATTTCTTTTATAATGTTTGTAAATATATTTTTAAATGTATATATTTTTTTTAAATTCTGGACAGGAAATATTTACTTTCCCAATGTTAAATATTTTGAACAATGTACATATACTTTGCCACTGTGGTCATAGTTTAAGAAGCGTGCTGTAGTTTTATATGCGACCATAAATATAATTACCATCATTATTGTCTATTAATTCGGGTCTATCATATAATATTGTGAAGAAGACATTAAAAAAAATTACAACTTACATTTGTGTTTTTTTTTTCGTTCAGATTGTGCTGTGTCTGAAGATCCACTACGAGAAAATGGTGAGAGCGACACAGATTCCGGAAGTTCGAAAAGGATCCGGACAGCGTTTACCAGTAACCAGCTATTAGAGTTAGAACGAGAATTCTCCAGCAACATGTATTTGTCACGATTGAGGCGCATAGAGATCGCCAACTGTCTGCGGTTGTCTGAAAAGCAGGTGAAAATTTGGTTCCAGAACAGACGGGTTAAGCACAAGAAAGAAGACGGACCAACGTCATCGACCAAACCAGGCACACCATGCTGCAACTGTCCGAAATCGTGTCATCAGTCGTCCACGGCGGTCGGAAGTACGTCCGGTTGTCGACAAAATGATACCGACGGCGGAGATGGTGATGAACGTTGTGGTCGGTTTGACTAGGCGTGAGTGTAGGCGAACAAGCTATATTATAACGTAATTTATAGTTCGTCCTTGGCAAATACAAACATTATCTTAAGAGCAATGGCTGTGATGAAGAGTGGAGGTCGAATGACATCGATCAAACACTGTAACACGAATTTCTTTTTAAACCGTTCGCGGTGGACGCGAATTAACTAAGTCATTCAAAATGTAACGAATTTAATTAGTTGGTGAATTAATAATATAACAGAATTTTCAGTGTACTGCGCGTCGCGGTCGTCCTAAACCTGTAATCATCGGTAATGGCGTTGAAGGCGTTGAAGGGGTTTTAATGAAATAAGACGCAACTGATACGCGTTGTTTGAACAAAATATATTATTATAGAGTTTAATAAATATTATGTTTATTAAATCATCATGACTAAAATATAATTATTTTTGTAATTGTTTTTTTTTTTTATTGTATATTAATTTTTTAATATTTTAATCAGATTGTAAATAAATTGTCATTGTTGATTCTTTCTAAAAAATCATGTGAAATAATTTTTTTTATTTTATACACATCCAAGTACCTACTAGATAAAAATATCTAAATCAAAAATAAGAAAATAAGCTTTGTCAAAAAAATATATATATTAAATTGCTACATTATATAAAGCCATTGGTTAAAAATGTATCATATTATCATCATCATTATATATTTTCTTAACTTGTTATTGGTCTTAAATTTTATATTATATACTTATATTATACTTATAATAAACTGTCTTATTATATTAGTAAAATGAGGGCAAAACTCCGGTTTCTGTATTCAATCAGATTTTATTTTTAAATTCTGAGTGAATCGATGAATATTGGTACAGTAAAGTGAGTAAACCCTCTAAATACCGGCCACTCTCGGTCACTGAAAATTGTTCCGCTATTCCGCTATTGAAGAAAGCTTATAGATTTATTTATATATATATTCATAAAAATATAAATCATGAGGTAGAAATAAAGAAATATAGATGCTTGAAATAATCTACTTTTACTTCAAATATAATTTCTGTACAGGTACAATGAAATTTTCAATATTCTCAGACTAATATGTATAATAAGCATATGTCAATTTTTGTTAAGTGTAGATACATTTTTTATGCTTGAACAAAAAACTTGAAATTTAATACAATATCCCACATAACTACATAAATTAATCTTATAAGTTATAATTATTCAAAAATAATCAAAATACATATTCACAATTTTTGTTTTTAAGTCTTTTAAGCTCTAATTATGATAAAATTTGTCAAAATAACGAATATATGCAAATTAGGGTGACACCTATACTTACACCCACTGTTGGAAGATACCTGAGTAATATTGACAGTTTATCAATAAAATATGCAGTAAAAAGTGCTAATGTATTAAAGGTAAGTATAGGTAATGATTAATGAAAGGGGTGTATTTACCCCTGCGGTTTGATTGGCTTTAATTTCTTCAGCTCCCCAAAAAAAAAAAATTAAAATTGTGCTTATGCATTTCAGTGACCTAGTCAATGACAAGATACACTCGATAGACGACATATTATATAACTATATTATTAGAGCAGAGTAATTTCCCAGTTTTATTTCTATGCAATTATTTATAATTATTAATTTTCATTATAATTAACTGTATACAGTCAATTTGAGTACCTACTATCTTATACGATTTTGTAGATGCTTTGGTTAGTGATTACCTCTGACACTTTGTTAAATAATTACAGTTTTACATTCGCAGTGTGTTAAATAATATTAGGTAATAGCGTATAACTATAATAAACACGTATTTTTGAGAGTAGAAAAACGTACTCGCTGAACCCACATAGTATATATTATATATTTCCAATAATATTATGTACGAGTAACCCTGTGGTCTTTTCTGAAAACCAATAAAAACGTCGTCGAGGGTTTTGTTTGATGCGAATGGGGTAAACAATAATAAAGTTTAGATACCCTTTTCGGTAAAAAGGACGTTCCTGCGCTGAGCGGGTGGTTGCAGGAGTCACGTATCGAAATAATAGGTAGGTACCTACGCAGTACGCATCCGTTGTACCAGTCCTTCCAATATACCAACCCGCACGACACAGTCTGACCGGCTTGACTGTTGTATAATACAATATAATATATTAATAATATTATTATCGGCGATTTCGTTTTTGAGGGTACGTCGGTGGTGACTGGTGGTTGGTAGACGACAGCGGTAGTCCACGTAAACCGGCCGCAAAGGTTATTTTACTTACTATATATACGTATACGATATACTATACATATTATATAAAATATACATATACTGATGTACAAACGTATAAAGGACGTTTGATTTATGTGATTCTTCGTTAAACCTTGTTCATTTTCTGTGGGGATTTTCCCGTCCGTCCGCGGCTTTATATATTATTATTATGTACACGGATACCGTACACTCGAAAATCGACCACCACCGCATTTTGTGGTTTTATTGCACCCAACCCCGTACGCCGGTCACGTAATAAATATTTATGCCCACAGTTTCTATTTATTTATTTTTTTCTCCCCATCGACCCCTTCGATTTTATATTTTTTCTCCCGTCAGTAAATGTATAATATAGCCTAAAGGTACCTATGACATACCTATGATATAATATTATTGTATGACACTATGACACTATGGTGTACAGCAATACAAGCATTAGATCTATGTAGTATGTAGTATATACTTAAGTACTTAGCTGGTTACAAATAATAATAATGATTATTATTATCAAGAAATAGAACACACGATTTACATCAAGAAGTTTGATGATTTAGCTAGACGCACCAAAGTTAATGCTCCAATGACCAATCAAATTGTCTGTCGTACGTAATATTATAATTATTATAATATCGTAGGTAAAACATTATATTATATAGTAATCAGTCATCAACAAAGTTATTTATTTAGATAGCAAATGTTATTTGTAATATTGTATAATTCACATTTTAATTTCCATCCGAAATCAAAATAGTAAATATTTGCAAGCGAGTGCATTACAACAAAGTGTTTTCTATCTTATAATATTATGTTATTAGGTATATTGTTATTATCATGAGTACTATCGTTTGTTTGGAGTTTACTCGTTTCCGTCCAAATGCCATCAAAATCCATGCCTTTAATCGAATTAGGATTTGTTAGAGATCGGGAATCGAATGAGATAGGTACCTACCCTAAAATGCCATACGTCCCTAGGGCCACGATGGTCAACCCAAGAATGTCAACTCGTCTCGTCTGAATATTAGATTACTCACAAAATTATTTTCAGTATGCGTTGCTTTGCTATGGTTGCTCGTTAAAATTACCATACGTCCAAACACCGACGACATATTTGTTACCACGAAAATAATAACGTTTCAAGTAAAATGATTACCGCGGTAACATGCGTACTATGCGGTGAGCTACAATTTAAATCAATACAACTGAGCATTATATCATTATAATTCAGATTAATTTAAAATCATTATAATTATACATTACAATGATGGAATGAGCTTTGACTCAAATTTATTTAGAACAATTTTAGAATGCGATAGTCGACCGATGAATAGATTTTACACGTTATATATCGCATGTAAGTTTTTGTTTATCGTTGTATTTTTTAGTTTTTTTTCTATAAATGTTAATACAATTTTATTTGTTGGATCAATAAGCTTGAAAATTTAATACAAGGCTCTTGCTATATTGCTACAATAGCAGTTGAAAATATTTAAAAAAAACACGAGGACCATTATTTTTACAAACATTTAAAGTTCGACAAAGTTTATCATATTTAAAATCAAATAATGATTTTGTAGTTAAAAATGTATCAAATTTTCAAATTTTATAGCTAAGGATAGAAAAATTTAAAATAAGGTTCCAAGTAAATAAGCTTCATATAAATTACTTTATTCACAATAAAATCGTGAAATATACTTAGTAATATCATAGGCTCAGTGGCGCCGAATTCATGTATTAGGTGTGGCAGCCGCCACACCTATTTTAAGGGGTGGGTGTACAACCAAAATTGGTGGATAATCGTAATCCTAAGTGTAAAAAGATATTGTACAAATATAAGAAAGATGACTTCCTAGTGTGTCGCAGCGTGCAGTGTGTACTGTGTGATATAACATTAGAAATAGCCAATAACTAATAATTTAATTAATAGTTTTACCATTAAAACATAAATTCTATTTTCAAATTTCTACTTCAGCATCTTGTCTGATAGGGAAATGAATCAAGTTGATACTTTGTTGAGTCAAAAATCAAAAGTAAAAAAGTTCCCAGTAATTTTCAAAAGCGTCGTGAAAAACAAAAAAAAAAATTAACAAATATAAAAGTAATTTTTATACAAAACCAGTTATCGACAAAATCGATTGTGTTTTTCTGTTGTAACTCAAAAATGACTAACCGTAAAAACTTTATATTTTAACAAAATTTTTATATAATATATAAGAATTTTCCTGAAAGATATTTCCTACAAGATATTCAAAATATATAGACTCTTTTTGAGCATTAAACATTTTTATTTTTAATTATCATCGATAAATAATTTTCTCTTTCGGTCAAGTTGATCACAGATCCACAATATATTATTTTCAATATGGGTCTAAAGTTGAAACTTAAACAAAATTCATTTAAAATTAAGAAAATTAAAAAAATTTCGACTGTCTACCAAAGAAAAGTTAAAAGAAAACCTTACCAGAAAGTCACATTAATTTGTGTTGAGACTTAACTAGATAAATGTATGTATAAAATGTATGCTGTATGATGTCAAAAAATCATTGGTGGTAAAATAAATGTTACCCCCTCTCGAATAAGTAATTGGGGCAACACTGAAAACTATATGCCACGGTCCTTACAAAACATAAACTTTAGGTTATCTACATCGCGGGCAACATCTTATAAGTTATATTCATATTATAACCTCCCTGCATGACGAGTAAACAATTTTCTTTCACTTTTTTTCGCCTAAAATTCGATTTCAGACCACTGTGCGTCGCCTACGACTGAAAT